TAGTTTTTGAAGCATATGTTGGACAATCAACTATACAACAATTTGCTCCTGGCATAGAAAAAGAACTAGTTATAAAATTCGACGATATACACTTTATACTGCCATAAATAAAGCACCACGCTGTAAACTACAATTTAACCGGAAATGATCTTTGCACAACTTGCAAAGATTTCCGCGTGAGCGACCATTGACCTTTGATGTATGCCGGCATTCCAATCCATCCTACTTCCATTATCTATGACTTAAGTATAATATTAGTGCTGACGTTCGATAAATTGGCAGTCATTATTTCAATTTCATTCAAGTTGTTCTCGTCAAAAATGTTTTGATTATTAATACTTTCTAGTGACGAGACGAGTTTTTAGTTCAGTTTTTTCTGCTCATTATTGTCTCATTTTCTTCATAAAATTGATAATTTATCACAGCAAATTTTATTGCTGTACATTTTACATTTTATCACTGCACATTCATTTTTATCACTGCACAAATTGGTTATCATGGAACACTAAAATTAGGTATGTCTTCCATATCTCGAACGTCCACCAAGAAGAAATGATGTCTCCCTTCCGACCTCGGCAGTTTGAAAGTCCTCCGAAAGTTTGAAAGTAGCAGTCCGGAAGTGGGAATGTGCCGAGTCGTCGAAATAGCCTGAAATAATTATTAAGGGCTATTAAGGCTATTATTAAGGTCGAATAAGTTGTTCTCTTGTTCTGTTTTGCTGCCTTTTGGGGCGATCTTTTAAAGTCAGCTTCAATTCTGGTGCACGTAATCACGTTACTTGGTAAAATAATCACGAAATCCGCCGCTTAAATTGGCCTTTTCCCGACTCTCGCCAGCATTTAAATTCACGATTTCACGCACCAAAAATAACTTAATCGGTAATCACGTGATAACGCTTGAAATAACAGCTAAACACGCTTCACGTAAAAATCACGGGGGGCCCCAATGTACCTCATTCAAACATATTTAAACTCCCGGTTGTATAGCGATACAGATTATATAAAGTATGTAAAGGTTTGAGCAAGTTTTCACCAAATTTCCCGACGAAATTTGATGCTTACATTCTGAACTAAATATTTAATATGTCTCGACTGACGTGCAAAGTCCATTCACTTTTATTCATTTAAAAATTATTTTCTATCTTAACACGAGACACATTATATATTTTTGAAATCCTTAGAAGATTTTCTTTTTAAAGCCACAAGCATTCGAAATTATCATTTTCGAGATCGGTTCGGCGGTTGATATATGCTCGGATAGATATATGCACACACCACCCACTCGGCGATTCGGGCAGTCCTTACCAAAAAGGTTATAACCATGGATTGAAGCATAGTTAATAGAGGAGATGGTTTGGAAACTCAGTAGCATTACAATAAAATCACAATAAACCTCATTATCTATGTTGTTCAGGTTTATGCAAAAATGTGGTCTTTCATCGTCACGTGCGTAAGTCACGGATGGGCAACTGAACAAAACCGTTGCTAAATGCTAATGGCTGGTTGGGCAAAAATACAATGCGCATGCATGTGACGAAGAAAGACCACATTTATGCATTTATCTGAACAAATACATAGATAATGAGGTTTATTGTAATGCTAATAAGTTTCAAAACCATCTCCTCAATTAACTATGATTGAAGCAAGGCTATCATCGATGTCTTCACTAAACCATGTTTCGGTAACTTGGCCCATGTCGACTGGGTTATTAGAAAGAGATGCTGTTAACTCGTCTAACTTTGGTAAAAGTGATTGGGCGTTTATTAAAGAAATTTTCGGAAGTATAGTTTTCTTGGTACGATGGCCGATAAGCACGATTAGGTTCGGCTGCATTGGTAATATTTACCTGAATAAGATTACTTAAACTGCGCTGAAGACGGACATTTTTAGGGGGGTGGTGACTAGATAATATGACGGGGATGTCTTGTATAGTAGGATTGAGCTGCAGATCAGGTAGGAGACGGGAAGAGGGAAAGTTTGTTCATTGGAGGGCTGGCAGTATCGGGCGTAGTTTTTTGTTCCCCAGGAAGTGTCTACTAGGTCGAGATGATTTGACCAGTCTTTCTCTCGGAAGTCCCAGTGGGGGCGGTGGGGGCAATTTAAGAATATCGTGTTGTCATGGCAACACTAGAGCGCAAGCTTGCGTTCAGTGTTGGTCATTTCTGAATACTTCATGTTAATTTAATATTTGGAAAACATTGGCGAGGGGTTACTGCATACATGTATTTCTAGCAGACATTTAATTGTGCGAAGCGTGTGTGGTTGAATCCTACATTAAATTAAACTGAAACATTACCTTCCACTTATATTTGGGAAATTGATAATTTTGTAATTACAAGTAATTATTTTTGTTTGTTTTTTAATTTTAAATATAAAAAGAATAGAATGATCTTATCACAATGACAACCACGTCGCATAGCTGTACTTCATATCTGGAAAATATAGTTGTTTTGGTAGCAAGGCGAAGGGGTTCTACATGCATGTATTTCCAGTATTATTAAATTAAAAGTAGTATCTTAACATTCAGCTTATTATCTGCTGTAAGGGAGATTTCTACAGGTAAGAGATAATTGCAGCCTTTCCGTCCTAATTAATTCTACGTTTATGTCGCAGACCGCTTTAGTGCATTTAAGATTCAAATAAAGTCACAGAAAACTTAGAAGACAACAAAGTGGTATCTAAACCTATACTGAATATTTATTTCCCAATTATTATGGTCGCAGTTACATACATTTATTATGCAGGTGGTAAGGCAGAGTTTTTAGGTTGGTAGACCAAAAGTTTTCCTAGTCTTCCAATTCCAGTCCAGTTTGGCGAGATCTCTTTGCTCTGCAGATCGTTAAGATTAACACGAACTTGTAATTCACCATCTTTCATCTGAAACAAAGGAGTATTATTTACTGCATCAGGGTCGACAAAAGGTATCAGATTCAGCACGTCATCTGTGTCTATTTAACGATCAGGATTTTGGTATGCTTGGATCACTTGATAAGCAGATGTATTGACTGCCTCGACAACTAGTTGGAAATTATCTTTATCTCCAGTCTTAATAAGATATCCATCTCCATAAGCGTTCCACTTGTCACCTCTCTTGTTCTTGACACGCAGACCAAATCTGCAGTCTTCATCATGCATATACTTGCTCAGTAGATCGCCAAGACCGCTGACGAAAAGCTGGAAATGAAGTTCCACTCTCGGGGTCCTGTATGCGGGAAAAACAACACATTAAACGAAATTATCCTACATTGAACAATTATTGAATGAGGTTGTGCATATATATGAAGAATATCAAAGCAAAATATAAACTGAGGGTTGGATATTTCTTCATATTTGGCGAAAACCTAATTCAATATTTTTTTATTATTTTATTTAGAAGAGAGAAAAGAAATCTGCACCTCTGAGCTCAACTCGCCGAAATAATGACCGATTCTTGTCCCATTGTCAGAAAATATTTCCTTTTTAATCCCCGAGCCAACGGCGCGAAGCGCCGTCCCGGGCGTAAGCTTGGGGCGAGGGTATTAATTCCGCCCGGTTATTTATACCCGGGGAACCGAAAGCATTAGCGAAGTCTAAAGTTCATAAATGATCGCGGGCGTGGGTGACCAACGGTGTTAGGGTGTTGGGTGGGTGGTCACCCTCACTGATCTCAAAAATATGGCGCACTGTCATGAATAGCGAACACTGATTGGTCCACGGTTTAAAATTTGCATTATAACGACTGCATGACGACAGCGAAATAGCAAACATTTCTTGATTCGATGATTTCTTGCAAATATATTTCATTTTTGCAAGATTTGGTGAATTTCGAAAGCTTTCTAAGAAAATAAAGACGAAAGAATTGCTACAAAAGAAGGGAGTAAAGTCGCCGACGTTAACGTAGGTAGGTTTGTTTTAAATATTGATGCATTGTTCACTATATAATAGCTTTAAAAGCTGATCGTTACGAATATATAAAATGAAAAAGACAGCATATAATTTCAGTGTTTCTTCATTGATTACCCTTTTTATTATTTTTAAATTTTTAAATAAAAAAGAAAGCAAAGTTGTTTGAATGCGAGAATTTGAAATCATTTTATAATTTCAAACTCAAAGTTTATCGATAACGGCAGTTTAGTTTTATAAAGAACATTTTAAATCGTCTTGCGAAGCGTTTGAGGTTGTATTTTACCTTAAATTGAGGCTTATATATTACGCATAATAACATTTATTTTTTTATCAGTAAGAATGAAGCAATCTGATTGGCTGAGGAGCCTTTCAGATCGGGCCGGTTTTTTGCATCCGGCCCGCTCTGAAACGCAACTTCCCGCTGTGAAATGCAACTGCCCGCTCTGGTTTTCGCGGCAAAAAATGAGGAGTGAAACAATTTTTAGACGAAAAAATCTGCCCAAAACGTTTGAAAAACGTAGCCTAACGATAGTCAGATACGAAAATGAATTGCATCAAGCCCTAAAGACTTTATACTAAGCACGATGTTCACCAGAATTGATAATTTTTTTAGAGAAATGCGACTGAAAGTCGGAAAGTTATTTGACATGTATAAAACTTTAATACGTCGAGAAAACTATATATTTTTTTTAAATGCTCATGTATTCGGCCACTTTAAAAGCGAAAAAATTACAGCTTAAACAGATATTGTAAAAGAAATGTTTTTCCATTTAAAAAAAGGTTTAACTGCAGCAGTGAAAACAATCTCGATCATTTGTGTTAGGCATTTTTCACTGATATAAAATATTGTAAACAAACTAAAAAGTCTGTGTTTAAAAAGATTTTTTTCAGGTATACTATCGTGAAACGACTAGAAAAAATACAAAAATAAAAAAATAACATACCTTTTTCATTGTCCTTTTAGTAGAAAAACGTTGATTAAATCAAAACAGATTCTTTTTTATCTGTTTTTGATCGGATCTGAACATGAACCTGTCGTTGTCAGAAGCAACTGAAGTTGTCAAAGCCAAAACGGCAGGCTTAAAACTTTTAATTCCAAAGGCTTTTCTGCTACCATATTCATGAAAAAAGCATGTAAATTTACTGAAACTATACGTCTTTTTGTGTGTTTCTTGCCACTTTTCTCGAGTTTTCGTAGTCGGTCGTGTTTTATATCTTTCAATATTTCAATTTTTGTCAGCCTCGCTTTAAAAATACACAACTGCACTGATAATGATCTCAAATTAGTTCGCAAACAACACTGGAATTTTAATGAATTTCATTTTTAAATCTGATAAAAAATAAACACGTTATTTACCGGCAGCGTCGGTCCGGATGAGAAGAACTGTGCCCTCGGTCTTGAAAACGTCCCTCGCCCTTCGGGCTCGGGCAGTTTTCAAAACCTCGGGCACAGTTTTTCTCATCCGGACCTCGCAGCCGGCAAATAACATATATATATACCTAAAATATATATGTTTGGGGAATTGTTAATTTTGTAATTAAAAGTAATATTTTTAGGGAGTGTTGACATTTTTCATTTGTAAAAATATTTTTAACAAAATTATCGTGTTACCATGACAACTACTTTAAATACTTCATGTTCGAAAAATACAATGGTTTTGTCAGCAAGGCGAGGGTTTCTGAATGCATGTATTTTCTAGTTTCTTTTATAAGTACGTTAAAGATGTTTTAAAACCTGATGTGACTGTTTGGTTCATATTTCTTCTATATTTTTTAAAGTCATGAATCTTTTAAATAAATAATAATATCGATTAACGATTGCAAAAGCAATCATCTTTAGCTCGCTAATTGATTTGTATATATCAGAATGTCCCGAAACCAAACATGTCCATCCCACATTATCTAGCTTTGTAGTCGTGCACGAATGATAAAAGTTTCAGATATTGGAATTTAAGGAAACAGCAACTATACATAGCTTTAATCCATTGATATTTTACCAACCAAGAGCTTACGGATCACCGCAGGTCGCAACAGTAGCATTCCTACTTGCCAAATAAGGAAACTATGTCTGAAACTACATGTCTATGAAATAGAAAGTCAAAAGTTTAGTTTCAAAAGAATGTGCCATTCAAAAATCAATTTCGTAAATTCAGTACTCGTCACCTGCCTAAAATAACTTCTTCTGTTTGGAGTACTCTTGCCCCAACCTCGTTCCCAGGGCTTTCGTGTGAGGACGAAGGGAGAGACGAGAAAGCCCTGGTCTGGGCCGGTCAATTTTGCATTCTGATTGGCTTACACCATATTGTCTAAAAATAACTTAACTTGACAGTTGACATTAACAATTCAACATTTGTATTTTTATGATTCTTGTGTGTACGAGTAATAGTATGTTTTGCAAAATAATCTTTCAAAGTAAGACGTTTTCCCGACTGCATGACTTACTTTCGCCTCGACCGGTTACAGAACTCAAAAGCCGTGTCGACGTGAGCTGTGATGTTTCCTGACAAAACAAGAAACGTCTACTATTATTTAAGCTGTAGTTTTCCTTCTACAGTATTTATAATGTAGTCCAGATGTCTGATGAAATACTACGCGTATTGCATTGTACTATTGTAGTAATATTTTAATTTACAATGTTCTATACTGACAAATAAAAGCCGAAGACAAACAATTAAATGAAACTACTAAATTAATTTAGGCCCTGTTTACTTAATAGCTCTAGTGCTCTACGCTTAGGCCGATGTAGTCTCTACAAGATTCGTCACGCCACCTAGTTTTACAGTTTCAGAATACCTCGAATACTTGAAAATTGCAATTACACGATGAAATAAAACAAAGATTGTGAATGGGATAAAATTTGTAGGCAAGCATTGTTCCTGAACCGCAAGTGTTGGTGTCCAGCGAAACAAGCGGCGAATCCGTATATTCCTGTACAGCGTAAACAGGTTAATACGCGAGGTTTTATATTTGTGTTTATTTATATCGAACTAAGTCAGATCTATAAGAGCATATTTAAACTAAATATTAAAGGCAATAGCCATATTGTTCAAGACGAGACAAAGCAAATTTCGTGTGAATCACGTACCACTTGCATGGAGACGCCTAGATGCAGCTTTGATGCAGTTTTGCCTGTGCCTGTGGTTGAAAATCTCAAGAAATATCGGTATATCTTAGAAAACATCGACGGGTCTTCAGAGATTTCAGCTGATTCGTGCCAAACTTCGCTACACATAAATAATATCGATTGAGAAGTCTTTTGGCCGTAAGTTTATTTGTTTCGAAGACTTGTATATTTCATTAAAGAATATTACGAAAGTCACCAAACTGTGGAATCGCATAAAAAATTCGTATATCGACGACCCCCACAAACGTCTACGACCGCGCCAACATAGTTTTGCATGTTTACAATTCTAATTTTAAACAGCTAATCGGCGTTTAATTGTAATTGTTACCAAGAACCTGATTGGCTGTTCAAAATTAGAATTGTAAACATGCAAAACTATGTAGGCGCGGTCGTAGACGTTTGTGGGAGTGGTCGATATACGAATTTTTTATGCGATTCCATAGCCTGCGAGCAGGCTCTCTGGGGAAAGAGAGCCTGCAAGGATCCCTATGATGATTGCGTGCCGCCCTTCAATTATGATGTCACAGGTCAATTAATAACAACCAATCAGCGCAGACCGGAATACACTACGATATTGTAAACATAAACCGATTCGTTTCAAATTCGTTAATAGTTTCGTATACAGACCGCCACTGTGGCATACTAAAAAGTTAAAACGGCTCGAGGTTTTACAGAGTAATATATCAAGTTGTACTTTTTATTGCAATCTGCATGTGTTTCTCCTGTAGGCACAGTAAGTTTAAAGTTGTATATTACCCGCTAACTAATTCAGTTATTTGGAATTGCTTCGTGCTGCAATATATAATATACACTGTATACAGTCTATATATAGTAATAATATAACTTACTGAAATTTATGGCTTTGGTGAGACATAGACATATATGATATACCATGGACATTGGACATTATTTAATAATATGTTTATAGTTCAAATTTTGCAACAAAAAGTGGAATTGCAGTAAAACATGCATGTGATAATTATTGTAAACAAAGTGACGAGTAAATTACT